AAACAACAAGACACTATAAAAACAACAAGACACTATGAAAACAACAAGACACTATAAAAACAACAAGACACTATGAAAACAACAAGACACTATGAAAACAACAAGACACTATGAAAACAACAAGACACTATGAAAACACAAGACACTATGAAAACAACAAGACACTATGAAAACAACAAGACACTATAAAAACAACAAGACACTATAAAAACAACAAGACACTATAAAAACAACAAGACACTATAAAAACAATAAATGGGACTTAAAATAGACATGATAGGGAATATGTACATAAATAAATAAATAATAAATTAAATTGCACGATTCCCCTCGTATTCCACGGAAGGCTTTATATATATATATATATATATATATATATATATATTATATATATAGGGCTTTTCAAGGACTCAAAATAGGACTATCAAACGTGATCAACCGGCATGGATTGATGGGGGGGGGGGGGGGGGGCTATGAGTAGACAAGAGGAGAAGAGATGAGTTTTGAAAAGGGACTCGAATACTGTGAGGGTCTCAGAATAGCGGAGATCTTTGCATCAATATGTTCAAAATGTAAAAAACAATTCTACAATTATGAATAGTGAAAAGTTAAATATAACATATTTGTAGTTTGAACCAAAATATAATACTAAATATTATACAAGTGTTTTTTCTTCACCAAAATGACAAAAATGGCATTAAAACACATTATTCTAATACAGGTCCTTTTTGACCCACTTATGGAAGAGTGTAGGGTCCAGTCACTCGGGCATCGAAGGGTTATTAATAAAGAAAGTCAAAACACATATTGTGAAATCGATCTCCGATGCAGCAACTTCACCTTCAGAGGATAGAGAGGTTCTGTACCCAGAATACAGTAACAGTCTCACTATATATTCAGCCAACTGGTCCCACCCATAAACTACCGCAGGCTTTTCTAAACACCCATGAAATTCTTCTGACCTGAGCTCCTCCAAAAATGCAACATATATAATTGTTACGTCCCCAGCTCGCTTAGGGTAAAAGGGACGCAACACGAAACCAGGTGTTCTTGGTAAGAGGTTGATTTTAATAATAAACTCAAAATAAAGACGATATAACCAAAAATACAGGCTCTTAAAACCAGCTATCTGTTCACAATAACGCTACACAAAACGAAGGCCACAGATTATCACAGTCATAGCGCACTATGGGCACTTAAGGCTAAAATAGTGAGGCGTCTCGCACAAGTTCGACGCCGTCACAAATCACAGAATACACTTAAACACACTTAAACACACACCCTAACTAACCACTGTAGCAGAACTAGCACAGAGCTACACAGAACTGACACAGAACGTAAGGAGAGCAGCGAGAGCCGTCTGACACAGATTCAGACCTCTCCCGTCTAACTGAGATGCACACACTCTTGTAAGAGTCCCCGGAAGGTGTGGGCAGGGATTGGTGAGTCGGGCCCGACCTGCTCCAATCCAGATCTTCAGTCACGCCTACCGGAGGAGGGACAGGAAACTGGCATCCAATGGCGTCCGGGCAACGGCACATCTCATATACATATAACATACACAGCTGAAAACAATCCCAGACAGGTTAACGAGCAGACAGCAGCCGTGACAATAATATTAACGTGTCTCTCCTGAAGTGTTACGGTACGTCCACACAGCCGCGTTAAAAAAATCTTGGAGGTGGGCGTATCTGAAGCGAGCAACGCGACCAACAACCAATCACATGAATCTCCCGCCCCCGACATACAAAGCAATAGCAATGTTCAAACGAAGTAAACTGGATATAAAATCCCCAAACAGGCGAAAACCTACCAGTTTCATCCACTGTCTCTGCCACCTCCCTCCATGCCTCGCTCCTCCGGTTTGTATCCCGGTAGGTGAACAGAGACTGGTCATAAAGAACCGGGTGATTACCGGGTTAGTGTGTCTCTCCTGAAGTGTTAGGGTTAGTGCGTCTCTCCTGAAGTGTTAGGGTTACTGTGTCTCTCCTGAAGTGTTAGGGTTAGTGTGTTCTCTCCTGAAGTGTTAGGGTTAGTGTGTCTCTCCTGAAGTGTTAGGGTTAGTGTGTCTCTCCTGAAGTGTTAGGGTTAGTGTGTCTCTCCTGAAGTGTTAGGGTTAGTGTGTCTCTCCTGAAGTGTTAGGGTTACTGTGTCTCTCCTGAAGTGTTAGGGTTAGTGTGTCTCTCCTGAAGTGTTAGGGTTAGTGTGTCTCTCCTGAAGTGTTAGGGTTAGTGTGTCTCTCCTGAAGTGTTAGGGTTAGTGTGTCTCTCCTGAAGTGTTAGGGTTAGTGTGTCTCTCCTGAAGTGTTAGGGTTAGTGCGTCTCTCCTGAAGTGTTAGGGTTAGTGCGTCTCTCCTGAAGTGTTAGGGTTAGTGTGTCTCTCCTGAAGTGTTAGGGTTAGTGCGTCTCTCCTGAAGTGTTAGGGTTACTGTGTCTCTCCTGAAGTGTTAGGGTTACTGTGTCTCTCCTGAAGTGTTAGGGTTAGTGTGTCTCTCCTGAAGTGTTAGGGTTAGCGTGTCTCTCCTGAAGTGTTAGGGTTAGCGTGTCTCTCCTGAAGTGTTAGGGTTAGTGTGTCTCTCCTGAAGTGTTAGGGTTAGTGTGTCTCTCCTGAAGTGTTAGGGTTAGAGTGTCTCTCCTGAAGTGTTAGGGTTAGAGTGTCTCTCCTGAAGTGTTAGGGTTACTGTGTCTCTCCTGAAGTGTTAGGGTTAGTGCGTCTCTCCTGAAGTGTTAGGGTTAGTGTGTCTCTCCTGAAGTGTTAGGGTTAGTGCGTCTCTCCTGAAGTGTTAGGGTTAGTGTGTCTCTCCTGAAGTGTTAGGGTTAGTGTGTCTCTCCTGAAGTGTTAGGGTTAGTGCGTCTCTCCTGAAGTGTTAGGGTTACTGTGTCTCTCCTGAAGTGTTAGGGTTACTGTGTCTCTCCTGAAGTGTTAGGGTTAGTGTGTCTCTCCTGAAGTGTTAGGGTTACTGTGTCTCTCCTGAAGTGTTAGGGTTAGTGTGTCTCTCCTGAAGTGTTAGGGTTAGTGTGTCTCTCCTGAAGTGTTAGGGTTACTGTGTCTCTCCTGAAGTGTTAGGGTTAGTGTGTCTCTCCTGAAGTGTTAGGGTTACTGTGTCTCTCCTGAAGTGTTAGGGTTAGTGTGTCTCTCCTGAAGTGTTAGGGTTAGTGCGTCTCTCCTGAAGTGTTAGGGTTAGGTGTCTCTCCTGAAGTGTTAGGGTTACTGTGTCTCTCCTGAAGTGTTAGGGTTAGTGTGTCTCTCCTGAAGTGTTAGGGTTACTGTGTCTCACCTGAAGTGTTAGGGTTACTGTGTCTCTCCTGAAGTGTTAGGGTTACTGTGTCTCTCCTGAAGTGTTAGGGTTAGTGTGTCTCTCCTGAAGTGTTAGGGTTAGTGCGTCTCTCCTGAAGTGTTAGGGTTAGTGTGTCTCTCCTGAAGTGTTAGGGTTAGTGTGTCTCTCCTGAAGTGTTAGGGTTAGTGCGTCTCTCCTGAAGTGTTAGGGTTAGTGCGTCTCTCCTGAAGTGTTAGGGTTAGTGTGTCTCTCCTGAAGTGTTAGGGTTAGTGTGTCTCTCCTGAAGTGTTAGGGTTAGTGCGTCTCTCCTGAAGTGTTAGGGTTAGAGTGTCTCTCCTGAAGTGTTAGGGTTAGTGTGTCTCTCCTGAAGTGTTAGGGTTAGTGTGTCTCTCCTGAAGTGTTAGGGTTAGTGTGTCTCTCCTGAAGTGTTAGGGTTAGCGTGTCTCTCCTGAAGTGTTAGGGTTAGTGTGTCTCTCCTGAAGTGTTAGGGTTAGTGTGTCTCTCCTGAAGTGTTAGGGTTAGTGTGTCTCTCCTGAAGTGTTAGGGTTAGTGCGTCTTTCCTGAAGTGTTAGGGTTAGTGTGTCTCTCCTGAAGTGTTAGTGTGTCTCTCCTGAAGTGTTAGGGTTAGTGTGTCTCTCCTGAAGTGTTAGTGTGTCTCTCCTGAAGGGTTAGAGTGTCTCTCCTGAAGTGTTAGGGTTAGTGTGTCTCTCCTGAAGTGTTAGGGTTAGTGTGTCTCTCCTGAAGTGTTAGGGTTAGAGTGTCTCTCCTGAAGTGTTAGGGTTAGAGTGTCTCTCCTGAAGTGTTAGGGTTAGTGTGTCTCTCCTGAAGTGTTAGGGTTAGCGCGTCTCTCCTGAAGTATTAGGGTTAGTGTGTCTCTCCTGAAGTGTTAGGGTTAGTGTGTCTCTCCTGAAGTGTTAGGGTTAGTGTGTCTCTCCTGAAGTGTTAGGGTTAGTGTGTCTCTCCTGAAGTGTTAGGGTTAGTGTGTCTCTCCTGAAGTGTTAGGGTTACTGTGTCTCTCCTGAAGTGTTAGGGTTAGTGTGTCTCTCCTGAAGTGTTAGGGTTAGTGCGTCTCTCCTGAAGTGTTAGGGTTAGTGTGTCTCTCCTGAAGTGTTAGGGTTAGTGTGTCTCTCCTGAAGTGTTAGGGTTACTGTGTCTCTCCTGAAGTGTTAGGGTTAGTGCGTCTCTCCTGAAGTGTTAGGGTTAGTGTGTCTCTCCTGAAGTGTTAGGGTTACTGTGTCTCTCCTGAAGTGTTAGGGTTAGTGTGTCTCTCCTGAAGTGTTAGGGTTAGTGTGTCTCTCCTGAAGTGTTAGGGTTAGTGTGTCTCTCCTGAAGTGTTAGGGTTAGGTTTAACGTCTCTCCTGAAGTGTTAGGGTTAGTGTGTCTCTCCTGAAGTGTTAGGGTTAGGTTTAACGTCTCTCCTGAAGTGTTAGGGTTAGGTTTAACGTCTCTCCTGAAGTGTGTGGTATGTTTGAATGTATACAAAACATTAAATAAAATGACTTATATTTATTTTCATTATTGATTAAATGCTGATTTTATTGTAATTTTGTATACATATTTTTATATTTATTTGTATTTTTGTATTCACGATTGTGGGGGAATTTTGATCTCTCTGTCTGTACACACAAACTGAAAGATTGACAATAAAGTTGACTTTGAGTTATTCAGAGCCCCTTCATCATCATCATCATCGTCATCGTCTCCTTTGTGTGTGTGTTTGCAGGGCTGAATAACGACCGCACCATCACACTGATCCCAGTTCAGCCGTGTGATTCCTCCGGTACGATCACCGCTCAGTTCCTGCTCACCACCTCCCCGAGTCGCCCCCCTCCTCCCCCTCCCATGACCTCTGACCCCCCGGCGGCAGGAAGCGGACGCCCGCGACGCACCGGCTCCCTCGCGCTGTTCTTCAGGAAGGTAGGATATCGTCATGGTTTTTATTTGAATTACAGAAACTTAAAGAAAACATTCACAGACGAGAGTTATTAAAAAAAAACTTCCTCTGACTTTTCTTCAGTAGATGTTGCTTTCCTACTTGTTTCATGTGTGTGTGTGTGTGTGTGTGTGGTGTGTGTGTGTGTGTGTGTGTGTGTGTGGTGGTGTGTGTGTGTGTGTGTGTGTGTGTGTGTGTGTGTGTGTGTGTGTGTGTGTGTGTGTGTGTGTGTGTGTGGTGTGTGTGTGTGTGTGTGTGTGTGTGTTGTGTGTGGTGTGTGTGTGTGTGTGTGTGTGTGTGTGTGTGTGTGTGTGTGTGTGTGTGTGTGTGTGTGTGTGTGTGTGTGTGTGTGTGTGTGTGTGTGTGGTGTGTGTGTGTGTGTGTGTGTGTGTGTGTGTGTGTGTGTGTGTGTGTGTGTGTGTGTGTGTGTGTGTGTGTGTGTGTGTGTGTGTGTGTGTGTGTGGTGTGTGTGTGTAGGTGTATCACCTGGCCAGTGTGCGTCTGAGGGATCTGTGTGTGAAGATGGACGTGTCGTCGGAGCTGCGGGGGAAGATCTGGACGTGTTTCGAACATGCGTTGGTTCACTGCACGGCTCTGATGAAGGACCGACACCTCGACCAGCTGATGCTCTGCTGCGTGTACATCATATCCAAAGTGAGATTTAAAAACATTTTCCCGCATTGCTCTCCTGCTTAACTATAGACTGTTCTTGTACTATTTCTATTTTATTTGTATTCACTTGCACATCTCAAAATATTCTCTTGCACTATTTTATCTGTTTTATGTCCTTTATATATGTTCATGTTGCTCTGTCGGAGGAGCCTGGGACTTCAGTTTTTCATTGCCATATCTACACTGTAGCTAAAGGGCATATGACAATACAGCCTTTATACTTGAAACACACACACACACACACACACACACACACTTGTACACAGGGTTCGTACGGGTGCTTGAAATCCTTGAAAAGGAAAATTTGAAGTGGTGTTTTCAAGGTTGGGAAAGTGCTTGAAAATGTAAATGCTTTACTTTTACAATAAATTGCTGTCTGACTGAATAGTTCGCTTTTTAGATTAAAAGAAAAGAATTGCTTCGCTTCTAAAACAGCTCCGCTGCACCTTCCCGCGCTATGCGAGCGACCTGCAAGTGTTTGTGTTACGTGTGACCTGGGCATTCTGATGAGTGATAGATGACTGTGTGCCAGGAGGTTGCAGTTTCAACGAGCGTTGGCTAGCAGAAGACAAATACAAGCCATGGCTAAGACGAGGGTCACGCCCACGAGTAGCCTCCTGCAAAGTTTGCAAACATAACGATGGGAGAGTCTGCGCTGACGAGCCACATGAAAGGTACGCCGTAGAACAGCATTTTAGATTAGGCTAACGTTGCATGTTACGTTTGTTTAAGCTAACGTTAGCAAGCTGATTAGCGAACTCGATTGAGGGATAATAATAATTGCAGGGGACAATCATTTCAGAGGAGCGTACCTATGTTATGTTACAGTCGCCATCCGGTGGTGTTCAGAGGATGAAGCACTCACGGCATTTCGTGTTATAGTCACGAAATATAATCTCTTGATTCGACACAGAGCGATTTTGAAAGCAATGTATTTCTACTGGTAGTATGTTTCGTGCCTAAACCAAATGTGACTTGCTCTATCGAAATCAGTCACATTGACCCGAAGACACATCTTCGTTTGTATTACTGGTCTGGGGGAAGCTCGCGAGTGTGTTTGTGTATTTTTGCGTTTGTGTACCGGGGAAAAACTCACAAGAAACACCGGCTGTTGTTATGCCTGCTGTGACGTTAAGTTACTCAGTTCTCCGCTTGTAATTATGCCGAAGCTTCAAAGTTGTATTTATCATCTGAATTTGCCGAAACAAGTTTAATATTCTGAAAGCCAATACTTTGTTTATTTGAAAACAGATGAAAACAAACTGTCTTTTATATAAAATTGAAGTATTATACAAGTAAAACTACATGTTGCTTTAATCCCATGTAATTGTAGAATGAACACAGTCTTCTTTTGAAGATGTATAAGTCAGGTGTCTTGAGTAGTCAATTACCTACAATCATTGTACACATTTGTAAATATTATTTTCCACTTGTGAGTCTATTTTTATGCAGCTCTGCGTGATTTTGTGGCTACAATTCAGACTAATACGCTACCAGAGGTGGAATAAGTACTCAGATCTTGTACTTGAGTAAAAGTAAAAGTACTCAGATCTTGTACTTGAGTAAAAGTAAAAGTACTCAGATCTTGTACTTGAGTAAAAGTAAAAGTACTCAGATCTTGTACTTGAGTAAAAGTAGAAGTACTGAGGTCTTGTACTTGAGTAAAAGTAGAAGTACTGAGGTCTTGTACTTGAGTAAAAGTAGAAGTACCAGAGTGTAGGAATACTCTGTTACAGTGAAAGTCCTGCATTCAAAATGTTCCTCAAGTGAAAGTAGAAAAGTATTCTCATCTAAATATAGTGAAAGTAACGACAGTAAAAGTAGTCGTTGTGCAGATTGGTCCATTTCAGAATAATATATATGATATGTTTTATAATGATTGATCATGAAAGTGTTCTCAAAGCTGGTGAAGGTGCAGCTAGTTTGAATGGCTTTGTATACTGCAGGGTAGCTGGTGGATTTACTCCAGGTGGAACTAAAGTCTGATTTAACACTTGATTATATTTCACATCATTCATCCACATCTGTGAAGTAACTAAAGGTATTAAATACATGTAGTGGAGTAGAAGTACACCATGTACCTCTGAACTGTAGTGGAGTAGAAGTACAACCATTTACCTCTGAACTGTAGTGGAGTAGAAGTACACCATTTACCTCTGAACTGTAGTGGAGTAGAAGTACACCATTTACCTCTGACTTATGTTCACTTCCAACCTAAAAGTACCTCAAAAATAGTAATCAATAATGCATTGAAAAGTTATTTGGCTGATTGTTTTATATTGGCTCAGACAGATTATCTGGGAGGCCCAGTCTACGTACAGATCACTCATTTAGAAATATTAAACTTACTTTTCTTTTCTTTAATTGTTCATCCTCGTGTAGAAGGCTATCACGAAACCCATTTGGTTGTTTATAGCATAAAGAACATCTGATTTAATGTGAGGTAGGGAAATAATCATTTGAGTATGTGTATATAAATATGTAATTTACAACAGCTGTAAGCTGCTTGAAAAGCTGGAAAATGCACCTTGAAAATGCTTGAAAAGTGCTTGAATTTGACTTTGGAAAAGGTGTAAGAACCCTGTGTACCAATATACTTATTATAATTATTCTTGAGTGCATGTGATGCGGTTTTTGTAATTTCTCCGATTCCCTTCTTCCTCGCAGATCACCAAAGAGACTCACACCTTCCACGACATCATGAAGTGTTACCGTGGCCAACCACAGGCCAGCAGCCATGTGAGTCTCACACACACACACGAATAGGGTAACACCACATGTCTTCATTCAACACCTTACTTGAGTAAAAGGACTGAGTTATAATAATTTAAACATTGTGTTCATCCCTTTTTAATGCTGCAGTGAATTGGTAACACTTAAAGAGCCTGTGACAGCCTCCCAACAACTGTTGTGCAATGAAATATTGGGCTACTAGTCATCTCGAACCGTCAGTTTAAAAAAGAAAAAGCGATACCGTTCCGTTAAATATCAATAATTTCGAACATCGCGGGGAAATTCCTTCGACTCATTTTGAAGTTTTGGGGGAAGCCGGAAGTGACGTCAATGCGGGAACGCTTCACTGTGCGGCGAGAGAGCCGAACACGGACAGAGTGTGTTGTCATGCGTAGAAATGGTGAATTACTGAGTTTAGGCACGTTAATAACGTTGTAATGAAGTTGACTACAGTATATTCATATTTGTCAGTGCTTTCATGTCAATTCGGCGAAGATGATGATTACATTAGGATTAAAAATCGGTAGTGAGAGCTGCTGAATTTCCTCCCGTCGGATGTGATATAAAAACAAATCGATTATTTTTGTAGTTGTAAACTCAAGTGGATGAAACTACATGTATTAGTGCTTTCATGTCAATTCGGCGAACATATGATACATTAAATGATCGTGAGGATGATGATTACAAATCGTTTGTTTGAGCCGGTCTGCATTTCCTGATGAGAAAACAAACCGATGCTTTTTGTAGTTGTAGTACACCAACATGGATTAAACGTGTGTTTTTTTACCACAATGTTGGGGAAATTAATGGATAAAATGCACGGATTATTATTATTATTCCCACTCCGATCGGGACACTAGATCCACCGTTTCCCCGCAGCGAGGCTCCCCCGTTGACAGTTTACCTGGGCTGGGTGCAGTGGCGGACTGGCCATCGGGACGAATCCCGATGGGCCGGTACCGAAGTGGGCCGGTCGGATAAGTCACTAGCACATCCCCCATAGGCGGCGCGTGAGGCTCATGTTTGGGAAGGCTAAATAACTTTTTTTACCTGACGCTGCCCGCCTCCGGCGTCTATAGAAAAGAGATCAGCTCAGTGTGCGGAGTTTAAATCTCTCAAGTCATATTACAGGATAAAGTAAATACAGTTTAAACTGCCGTATGCAGAGAAGACGCCGACGTGTCGCACTTATCATTCATATCACATCATCAATCAGATCATCGATCATATAATATCAGAATATATCATATATTTCCTTATCTGAGTCAGCTTCTCCAGCCGTATCTGGCCGTGCAACACTCACAGTGTCACATACTGTATTATTTTAATCAACACATTATGTTGACGAAACACTCGAGTCAAATGTAATTAAAGTCAGATCCACTCGTGTCTTAGATGGGGCAGTGATATCATAAAACTATACGCTTTCAAACACTCGGTAGGCCTAGTTATTTTTTAACCAGTTGTTCTGTATTCACCTTGCAGCAACTCTGTGGCTTGTATCCTGGATTATATGTTTAAGTCATCATGGATGTTTAAAGTTCATATTTGTCTAATATTAGTTTACTTTTCATTAATGAAGTATGACGCTGCGCTGTCAGTACACTTGTCCCTGTTTGTGATTGGTCAAATGTAGCTAACCCCGCCCCTTTCACGTGAACGCGCTCTCAGCTGGTGAGAGAATCCCTGGCTTGATTTACCGAGTTGATAACCAGCGTCGAGATCTCGTTTGTTAGTACAACATCAGGAAGATACGTCCCCAGCTGACCCAGAAAGCCACGCAGGTTCTGGTCCAGGCTCTCGTCACCTCACGCCTAGACTACTGCAACTCCCTCCTGGCTGGTCTACCTGCATGTGCCATCCGACCTCTGCAGCTCATCCAGAATGCAGCGGCTCGTCTGGTCTTCAACCTTCCTAAATTCTCCCACACCACTCCGCTCCTCCGCTCCCTCCACTGGCTTCCGGTAACTGCTAGAATCCACTTCAAGACACTGGTACTTGCGTACCATGCTGCGAATGGATCTGGCCCTTCCTACATCCAGGACATGGTTAAACCGTACACCCCAGCGCGTGCACTCCGCTCTGCATCAACCAAACGACTCGCTGCACCCTCGCTGCGAGGGGGACCCAAGTTCCCATCGGCAAAAACACGTGGGTTTGCTATCCTGGCTCCAAGATGGTGGAATGAGCTCCCCATTGACATCAGGACAGCAGATAGCTTGCACATCTTCCGGCGCAAACTGAAAACTCATCTCTTTCGACTCCACTTCGAGCGTTAGAACGATTAACGAAGCACTTTTATACTAATAAAGGACTGGCTTATCTAAAGCCAGTTGAGTAGCACTTGAAATGTTTGGCTCTATGAAACCTGATATACTTTATGATTCTGTTTTCTTCAAGTTTGTATTTTGTTGGTCGAATGCACTTATTGTAAGTCGCTCTGGATAAAAGCGTCAGCTAAATGCAATGTAATGTAATTAGTTTGTTGTTGTTAGTTAGTTTGTTACTCAAACATATCCAGGGTATGTTGAGCTGGCTTCGTAGGACAGGGCACAGGTGGCTAGCAGCACTAATGTAAAAAACACAGACATTATACATTATATTTGTATTTTTCCAGGATGCAGTGACACAAATATTTGGGAAGGCTTAGCCTTCCCTAGCCTACAGCACCCGCCGCCCCTGACATCCCCCACTCCCCCCGTTGACAACTTACTAGCGGTACCGAAGTGGGCCGGTCGAGAGTCCCGGGATGATTTTTAGTCCCAGTCCACCACTGGCTACATGACCGTATGATCGCCCATATTGACGCACCTAATTCCTAAACTTCTAACAGATACAACATAAACCGATCTTTCAGCCTCATATGAGCCTCAGACACGTTCAACATTAAACTGTCATCGCTGTCTGAGCTTGCTGCTGTGTGCGTCATCGTGCGTTTACATGAAGATGCTGGGATCCTGAACGGTGCAGCTGGAGCGCTGTGCCCGCAATGACGTCACACATAATTTGGCGGGACTTGAAGAATCCCCGAGCAGATCCAGAAAATGGTCAACATTGAAGGGCAGATTAATGGTTATCAAAGTACAAATATCCAAAATCAGTTCAGTAACGGTTTTCAAGGGGACAATATTTACTCAAATTGATGGGTTTGGATGATGGGGGAAACTCGTGTCACAGGCTCTTTAAATAAAAACGTTGGGTAGTTTAGCATATGATGATAATACCGTATGTTATTTGTTGATCATATTTTGCTTTGATTATCTGAATATGCAACTGAAATACTTCCATTACTAAGAAACCAATTCATAGTAACACAAGTTAACAATGGAGTCAATTTAGTTTTTATCAATTAAAGGCCGGTTTATCTAACTCTGTTATAATGATGTAATTGTGTGTGTGTGTGTGTGTGTGTGCGTGTGTGTGTGTGTGTGTGTAGGTGTACCGCAGTGTGTTACTGCGTCACACTCCCAGAGAGCAGGTGACTGACGAGAACATGGAGGTGGATCCTGTCTCAGGTGGAGAATGTAAGAGCACAGACAGAGATGCTCTATATAAGCACTGAATATTAATATGTATTATTCTGAAAGCATTTTTCCTTATAGTTAAACAATAATCATTAGACACATGTCAGATTTCTTCAAAAATGTTTTCCTGTCCCAATAATTGATCAAAGACTGTTAAGAGTTCTCTTTTGTGCCTTGTCACATTTTGCATTAGTTTCAAAGTGTTCATCATTGCGTTTTTATACAACCGTATCCCTCGTTTTTAAAATAAATCACTTCTCGGTATGTCTCTGTGTCTCCTCAGCGGCAGAGAAGACCAATCAGGCGTCAGGAGAAGCCAACACCGACCAATCAGGAGAGGAGGAACGCGGTGACCTCATCCAGTTCTACAACAGCGTCTTCGTCCTGAAGATGAAGAGCTTCGCGCTGAGATACGCCGTCCATGACAACCGGGTACGACGAGAAAAACTACGATGCGATACGATAACACTTTATTTGTCAGATGAAGTCTGAAATGAGACTTGCATCCCAGCAGGTCCATGTGTAACATCAACAGACACATATCAAGACTCAATACATGGAACACATTTAACATAACAGCACAATCACTTCAAGTATTCCGTAACAGAACAACAGAATCATTTCTCCGCGCAGAGCAGAACCCTGTGGTAAAACGTTATGAAATCAACACACTTGATAATGTTTGTATAATCTGTGTGTGTGTTTGCAGGTGGACGCCCCCCCCCCTCTCTCCGTTCCCCTCGGTGCGCGCTCAGCCTCTCTCCCCCCGCAGGGTTTCTCAGAGACACTCGCTCTACGTTTCTCCTCACAAGAACTCTGCGGCCTGCCTCACACCGAACTCCTACACATACAGGATCAACAGCAGCCCCTCCAAGGTAAACACACGCACACACACACACACACACACACTGAATCCTTTGTCAATGGGGAAGACGCAGCGATGACGTATTTCTGTATTGGACCCTGAGAGGGATTTGGATGTGATAATTAATTATTGCAGAAAAGAATCTCTGGCAAACAACTCTTTATGATACTTACACGTTTAGTTCAGCAGGATAATCTCCACATATTAACACCACTTTATTATTTCTAAAGTAAAACGCTAATGTTGGGCTATAATGGAACTACAGCACGGTCACATGACTTCACATCACCACCGCTAAGCTAAAGGTGGCTAATGTTGGGCTATAAAGGAACTACTGCACGGTTACATGACTTCACGTCACCACCGCTAAGCTAAAGGAGGCTAATGTTGGGCTATAAAGGAACTACAGCACGGTCACATGACTTCACGTCACCACCGCTAAGCTAAAGGTGGCTAATGTTGGGCTATAAAGAAACTACAGCACGGTCACATGACTTCACGTCACCACCGCTAAGCTAAAGGTGGCTAATGTTGGGCTATAAAGGAACTACAGCACGGTCACATGACTTCACGTCACCACCGCTAAGCTAAAGGTGGCTAATGTTGGGCTATAAAGGAACTACTGCACGGTTACATGACTTCACGTCACCACCGCTAAGCTAAAGGAGGCTAATGTTGGGCTATAAAGGAACAACAGCACGGTCACATGACTTCAGGTCACCACCGCTAAGCTAAAGGCGGCTAATGTTGGGCTATAAAGGAACTACAGCATGGTCACATGACTTCACGCCACCACCGCTAAGCTAAAGGTGGCTAATGTTGGGCTATGAAGGAACTACAGCACGGTCACATGACTTCACGTCACCACCGCTAAGCTAAAGGCGGCTAATGTTGGGCTATAAAGGAACTATAGCATGGTCACATGACTTCACGCCACCACCGCTAAGCTAAAGGTGGCTAATGTTGGGCTATGAAGGAACTACAGCACGGTCACATGACTTCACGTCACCACCGCTAAGCTAAAGGCGGCTAATGTTGGGCTATAAAGGAACTACAGCATGGTCACATGACTTCACGCCACCACCGCTAAGCTAAAGGTGGCTAATGTTGGGCTATGAAGGAACTACAGCACGGTCACATGACTTCACGTCACCACCGCTAAGCTAAAGGTGGCTAATGTTGGGCTATAAATAAACTACAGCACGGTCACATGACTTCACGTCACCACCGCTAAGCTAAAGGCGGCTAATGTTGGGCAATAAAGGAACTACAGCACGGTCACATGACTTCACGTCACCACCGCTAAGCTAAAGGAGGCTAATGTTGGGCGATAAAGGAACTACAGCACGGTCACATGACTTCACGTCACCACCGCTAAGCTAAAGGCGGCTAATGTTGGGCTATAAAGGAACTATAGCATGGTCACATGACTTCACGCCACCACCGCTAAGCTAAAGGTGGCTAATGTTGGGCTATGAAGGAACTACAGCACGGTCACATGACTTCACGTCACCACCGCTAAGCTAAAGGTGGCTAATGTTGGGCTATAAATAAACTACAGCACGGTCACATGACTTCACGTCACCACCGCTAAGCTAAAGGCGGCTAATGTTGGGCTATAAAGGAACTACAGCACGGTCACATGACTTCACGTCACCACCGCTAAGCTAAAGGAGGCTAATGTTGGGCGATAAAGGAACTACAGCACGGTCACATTACTTCACGTCACCACCGCTGAGCTAAAGGTGGCTAATGTTGGGCTATAAAGGAACTACTGCACGGTCACATGACTTCACGTCTAAAGCTAAAGGCGGCTAATGCTTTTAGTCGTTTAGTCTTCTGATTTAGACACTTGTTATCACATCTAATAAACTCTCTCCTTTCTCTCTCTCTCTAGGAGTTGTCGGACATTAACCGGATGATTCGTCAGGGCTCCTCGGTCAGCAGGAAGAGGGCCTTCACCATGGAGGGCGACGTGATGATGTCATCAGCGTGTGACTCCCCCAGTAAGAGGGCGTGTCCGGAGAACAGCCCCGACGTCCTGCTGAAGCGCCTGCAGGTCGTCGTGTCCGAGCGACAGAGTCACTAACGAACACGTTAAAACATTAAATGACATCACATTTAATTACAGAATCATCCCCACCTTAAAAAGCTTAGCGTACATGATGAATCTAGACATTAGGAGTGTTTCATTTATCATTAATGAGGCTTACATTTGACTTTTTTGTAATATATTATGACCTGAGGGTTATAGAACGTGAGCAGAGAAAGATGGCAGAATGCATGCCATTTGGTTTTATCAAAAATAATCAAACTCAACGTTTTATTAGAAACCATGAGTAATATCTGAAAGGGGATATTTCAGGAATCAGAACAAACTCAGACACTGTTTTTTATCTTTTGGCTGAAAAAAAGTCTATTATTTAAACATTTTTCAGGGTTTCTTGACCCTCAAATACATCTGAACACCTCGATGTTAGAGTGTGTGAATTCACAGGTTGATAAGTGATTGATAAGCAGGTGTTCAGGTGTGTGTTGCTACTGAAGGGAAACTTACAGTTTTAAAATCAAAGTTAACCGTATTGGCCTGAATATACGGAAGTTTTCACAAATATGTTTTTAATTATTAAAAGATCAGACCGTTACTCAAATTGATATCTTTATTGGCATGATGATGTACGGATCTTATCCAGCTGTGCTTTCTGACCACACAAATATAAACAATATTAACAAACATTTGAAATGCTCGTCGTTCTTCTCGTCAGGTCAAAATATATTTAGTAAGATTATCGTGTAAATAGTTTCTGACAAATCAAGCGCTATTGTACATTTTCTAGCATTCAACTCGTCTTCCTCTCCTGTCAGAGGTCTCTACTTTTTATGGAGATTTTACTGGGAAATTAATCTTTTATTAATTACCGTTAATTAAAAAAGAAATGCTGTTATTATGCTTTTAATGTTGTAAAGAAAAAGGTAGAAAAGCCCATGGAGTGTGTGGTATCTACACATTAAAAACATGTTATATCTGCTTTTGTTTATTCATTGTTTTGCTAAAAGCACATTAGCAAAGTGAAAAGCTAACCACATGTCAAATACAAAATAAAAGTGTTGATATTTGCTCCCAGATAGTTGATAGTTAAAATAATGTGAATGTGTGAACAGGGAATCATTCTGTGTCATTGTCCCAAACTCTTTTAAAGGAAATGTGTATTTTCCAGGTGTTTTGTAAAATAAAATGTACTTTGATCACTAAATGTTCATGTTTCTGACTCCTACATTTTCATTTCCTCATTTAGGCACATTTTTCATTTAATGCACTTTTTCGGTAAATAATTCCTGAATATTTTTTACATTTCAGTTTATTCTTAACTTTGGAAACTCGTTCAAAATCTCAAATGTACTGCTGTGTAGTTGATGATGTAGAAAACTGACCTTTGTTTCCCAACCGTATTTATTTAATACGCTATATGAACATCATACAACATATGTACAAAGAAATGACATCAGGGACACACAGTGGTGGGAGAAGAAGTACTTGGATATTGTACTTAAGTAGAAGTACTAGAGTGTAGTAATACTGTGTTACAAGTAAATGTCCTGAATTCAAAATAATAATATTTATAAAACAGACAAGTAAAATCAAGCAATCTGATTGGTTCTTAGGCTTGATATCATGAGGTTATTTCACGGGTAGAATTGTAGTTACTTTTCACAAGTCAGTATCCCTCCGCGTCTGAGAAAAAGCTACGACCGTTAGAACTGTTACACTACGTCCGTTACGAGACTAAGTAACTAATAAAGCTTAAGATGCAAACATTTAAGGTTAACTTCGACCTCCGGGGTGGCCTTACTATGGAGGAGTGGATTGAGCAGTGCCTATCTCCAGAAAAAAAGCACCTAAACGACGACATGCAGAGCTACGTGAAGAGCAGGTAGACCAACTGGAGAAGTTGCACCATTCAAAAGCTTTCTGATGCGGGTCTTGAAAGCAGAGAAATTATTTCCGTTAGTGGCCACAGGTACGAAAGCTCTCTCCAGAGCTACTAGAAGCCGAATCTCGGGGACCGGAGAAAGTGGAGCAATATTCTCGCCACGCCAAGCAACAGCCACATTAGAATTATGGTTGCACTCAATAGATACATTTCATCCATTTTTACCCCTTCCTCTGGTTTTTCCAAAAGTTAACTTTGTCTGACTCTGGAGGAATGTAACGGGAGTTGTCAGGGGACTCTACCCGCCTTAAGAGACACTATTTTGGGATACAATTTCTCCATTTTCACCCCTTTTCTCTGGTTCTTCCAAAAGTTAACTTAGACTTTTTCTGACCCATGTGCATCACCCTGGATCTCTGCCTGTGAGTGTGGGACCCTGCTTACAGCAGTGACTCTACTATACATTTCATGAGTCAAATGTGGATGAAATGGACAGGTTTCAAGCTTCTTTCCTGGGTTACATAGTGCTGTGAAGCAGCCTGTCCTCTGGGTGGGAGAGCGAGGTGCTGGAAGGAGCTCTCTGTGTGCGCTCATCTGTGCAGCTTCTGTTGTGCTGCTGTGTCCCTCTGTTCACATAACTTTTACCCAGCTTTCACACACTCATTCCTGGGTAAGAAAGCCATGTGCATCACCCTGGATCTCTGCCTGTGTGCCTGTGGGACCCTGCTTACAGCAGTGACTCTGCTGTGAAGCAGCCTGTCCTCTGGGTGGGAGAGCGAGGTGCTGGAAGGAGCTCTCTGGGTCACATCCTGCTGCTGCTGCTGCTGCTCCTCCTCCTCTCTCCCTGTATTCACAGAACTTTTACCCAACTTTCACACACTCATTCCTGGGTAAGAAAGCCATGTGCATCACCCTGGATCTCTGCCTGTGAGTGTGGGACCCTGCTTAGAGCAGTGACTCTGCTCTGAATCAGCCTGTCCTCTGGGTGGGAGAGTGAGGTGCTGAAGCAGCCTTACATAGCGCTGTTTCACAGCCTCTCCTCCGCTGTCTGGGGCTGTCACAGACAGCTTCTCCCTCTGTTCACATAACTTTTACCGAGCTTTCACACACTCATTCCTGGGTAAGAAAGCCATGTGCATCACCCTGGATCTCAGCCTGTGAGTGTGGGACCCTGCTTTCAGCAGTGACTCTGCTGTACATTTCATGAGTCAAATGTGGGGGGAAAAGGACAGGTTTCAAGCATCTTTCCTGGGTTACATAGTGCTGTGAAGCAGCTTGTCCTCTGGGTGGGAGAGCGAGGTGCTGGAAGGAACTCTCTGGGTCACATCCTGCTGCTGCTGCTCCTCCTCTCTCCCTGTATTCACATAACTTTTACCCAGCTTTCACACACTCATTCCTGGGTAAGAAAGTCATGTGCATCACCCTGGATCTCTGCCTGTGAGTGTGGGACCCTGCTTACAGCAGTGACTCTGCTGTACATTTCACAAGTCAAATATGTATAAAATGGACAGATTCCTGTCCATTTCATGAGTCAAATGTGGATGAAATGGACGGGTTTCAAGCTTCTTTCCTGGGTTACATAGTGCTGTGAAGCAGCCTGTCCTCTGGGTGGGAGAGCGAGGTGCTGGAAGGAGCTCTCTGGGTCACATCCTGCTGCTGTTGCAGTGGCCTGTGAGTGTGGGACCCTACTTACAGCAGTGAACTTGCTGCCAGCATTACAAACATATTAATCAGGCATTTTAACACTTTTTTCCCATGAAAATGATTTTTATTCACTATCATGGGGCTATATAAATCAAATTGCGGGTAATTAGGAGCACAATTGTACCTTTTACTATTTAAATGTATTTGTATTATATATTTTTTGGCTATTAAAGTGACATTTCTGGGTGACTTTGTCAGTTTATGGAGCTTAGCCCACAATTCCCGGAGGTTCCAGGCCGAATTTGGGAGCTCATAGGCGGCCTGCCATGCGCCCCCACCCGTGGAAAGCAAAGAAAAGTAAAGAAAACGGTCAATTATATCTTAAAATAATCAAAAATAAAGTAAAAAAAATTCTCGAAAAAACGGCTAAGTGCCAACGGAGGAGGGGCTCAAAAAAGCTCAAGTCTTCGGCGCTTCCGGCGGAAGCCCCGGAGACATTTGCACTCCCCCGTTGCATTTGACAACGGAGAGGGGAATCGAGACCTCCCTTCCTCCGTCCAAAAATGCATTCATCTTTTCCAAGCTACCATCTGCACGAAATTGGAAACCCGGTTTTTGAGAGCACTTGGAAAAAACGGGCTATTTTCACATCATGCAGGAATCATGGAGGAATGCATCCGCTACATGAGCACTTTGGATCGGATACAATTGTTGCCTGGAGGACCCCCAATCATGGTTCTTACCAAACTTTAAGTTTTTGAACTGGTCTCTGGAGGAATTTAAGGGGAGTTGGCACGGAATAATGAGACACTATTTTCGGATACATTTTTACCCCTTTTCTATGGTTCTTCCAAAAGTTCACTTTGACTTTTTCTGACTCTGGAGGAATGTACCGGGAGTTGTCAGGGGACTCTATCCGCCTTAAGAGGCACTATTTTCGGATACATTTTTTCCATTTTCACCCCATTTCTATGGTTCTTCCAAAAGTTAACTTTGACTTTTTCTGACTCTGGAGGAATGTGAGGGGAGTTTGGGGAGACTCTACCCGCATATGAGGCACTATTTTCGGATACATTTTTTCCATTTCACCCCTTTTCTATGGTTCTTCCTAAAGTTAACTTTGACTTTTTCTGACACTGGAGGAATGTGAGGGGAGTTTGGGGAGACTCTACCCAGATATCAAGCACTATTTTCGGATACATTTTTTCCATTTTCACCCCTTTTCTATGGTTCTTCCAAAAGTTAACTTTGACTTTTTCTGACTCTGGAGGAATGTGAGGGGAGTTTGGGGAGATTCTACCCACATATGAAGCACTATTTTCGGATACATTTTTTCCATTTTCACCCCTTTTCTCTGGTTCTTCCAAAAGTTAACTTGGACTTTTTCTGACTCTGGAGAAATGTAAGGAGAATTGTCAGGGGACTCTACCCACCTTAAGAGACACTATTTTGGGATACAATTTCTCCATTTTCACCCCTTTTCTCTGGTTCTTCCGAAAGTTAACTTAGACTTGTTCTGACCCATGTGCATCACCCTGGATCTCTGCCTGTGAGTGTGGGACCCTGCTTACAGCAGTGACTCTGCTGTACATTTCATGAGTCAAATGTGGATGAAATGGACAGGTTTCAAGCTTCTTTCCTGGGTTACATAGTGCTGTGAAGCAGCCTGTCCTCTGGGTGGGAGAGCGAGGTGCTGGAAGGAGCTCTCTGTGTGCGCTCATCTGTGCAGCTTCTGTTGTGCTGCTGTGTCCCTCTGTTCACATAACTTTTACCCAGCTTTCACACACTCATTCCTGGGTAAGAAAGCCATGTGCATCACCCTGGATCTCTGCCTGTGTGCCTGTGGGACCCTGCTTACAGCAGTGACTCTGCTGTGAATCAGCCTGTCCTCTGGGTGGGAGAGCGAGGTGCTGGAAGGAGCTACTAAGAACAACAGCTAGTGGCTCATATTAGGCTAGCAAGAACATTTAATTGCAATCTTATACGGGTAGTCTGCTACGTTCGGTCATTCATTGTAGCTGGCATAAAAACAATGTTTTCCCTAGCAAACTCATGTCTAGCTCTTAGCCTTCTTGTTTAGCTCGGTAGCATACACGCTAGGAACGCCAACTATAATGTAATTAAGTTTTGCGACTGACCGTACAGTAAATCACCCGGAGTATACTGTCTATGAGTATTTCGTGTGTGAATGCAGACATTCTCCTGCTATGAGATACATGTAAGGCAGGGATGGGCAAATGTCGGCCCGGGGGCCGCATGTGGCCCCCACCTCCTCTTTTTGCGGCCCAGAGATGAATTTATCAACAACGTAATTACTTGTAGTGCTGATACCGTCCATTAGACTCCTAGTTACATCGCGATCATGATTTCATGATTTCTTTCGGCACCCAAATACCGAAAAATAATCTGTGAAACGTTTGTCTGTATTGTGTTTGTTTCCCGGGGGGAAATTATATTTATCACTACATTGAACAACAATACCATTGAGGTGACTCAAGTGCAAAATACAAAATACAAGGAAGATTCTACTGACATTGGTGAAATCAAAAGTCACTCTGGTGTTATTAACAATTATAGGAAGAAATGCATGCACGCACAAACAGGACCTACAGATGAAGCGCTCTATTTCAGACGCCTACCCGTGCAGGTCCGTGATCGGCACGGGGTGGGCCCCTGCT